TTTCAGCTAGGTTTTTTATGTTTTCCAGCTAGATAATCATAATGTTTTTGCAAATATTAGTTTTGCCTTTTCCTTTTGTTGCATCATGTGTGCTATTTTCAATGTAAATAATAGGTATAAAATTTTTTTCAGAGGTAAACAGTGCCTATTGCACAAGTATCTTTTTGGAAGGTGAGGCAAAAATGTAGATTATTTAGTTCTTTGACAGCTTATTTTATGGTTGGGGTTTTAGTCAACTTCACTAGTTCATGTTTTTCCATTTTATTACTTTCTTATATTTTCTTAGTTTTTATGCACTTACACAGAATAAACTTTCTCCCCAGCTCTAGTTCAGGAGTGGTGAACCTTTTAGAACTTTCAGTGACAGCAAGTAGCCCGCTGCAGCACCTGTGCTCCAGGTTCACCACCACAAGTCATTCTCTTCCCCAAGACCCCAGAAAGGTAACTGTTGTTCCTGTTTTGTCAACCCAGTTCAGAGTATTTTCTTCTCTATTCCCCAAAAGGATATAGTAGATTCTAATGGTTGGAAATAGGAGATACGGCAATTCCTCTTCTTTTTTTTTTTTTTTTTTTTTTGCTGGTTGGCATGGCACGTGGTGCCAGGGATCAAACCGTGGCCCCCTGTGGCTGCCTGCGCTTGCCTAAGCAGGCGCTTTAGAATGCTGAGCTGTCCTGCTGGCCCCAGCATTATTCTTCTGTATTCTCTTGTGTGGATGTACCAAATGTATGGAACCATTTGCCTAATGACCTCGTTAAGGCTATTTTCAAACTTGCAATTTCAAACCATGATTTTATTTCCTGTGTCTGTAGATTGAGTCTTTGCATACCAGGCAGAGAATCCCTGTTTGAGAACTATTTGTTTTGTTTTGTTGCTAAATGTTGCCAAATTGCCCTCCAAAAGTTGCATGTAAGGTTTACTTTCTACTAGTAAAGTATAAAATAGGTCATGTTTCCCCCAAGGAATCTGTATCAAAATCAAATAAATTTTTCTTAACCTGGCTTAGATTCTTTTAAACGTATTGAGTCATTTATTGATTTATATTTTACATGCAGTGAATTTACCTTCTTAATGTTGCAGTGTGGAGTGTGCTTTTTTATAATCACAGGAAGAGAGCCTTGGTAAGCCTGAGAAATATAATGAATATAGTCCTGAAATACAGCTCGCCATTGTGCACATTATCTTTTTATCTCAGCACATTTCATCTTTGGCAAACTCAGAGTAGATGGGACAATACTAAATGACTTTTAAAAAACATAGCTTTGCAATGGTTTTTTTTTTTTTTTTAATTTATGTATTCGGTACAGGATCTCACTACACAGCTCAGACTCATAATGATCCTCCTGTTTTCAGCCTCCTCAGTGCTGGAATTACAGGTATGAGTCACCACACCCAGTTTCAGTGAGTGGCCAGGTCAGTGTGCCTGGGGGCAGGGCCAGCACAGCATGTGGCGCAGTGGATTGAGCCCAGGTCCCTGCACTTGCCTAAGCAGACGCTTAAGTCCTCTGAGCTATCTTGCAAGCCCCAATTTTGCAAAGTTTGGAGAAACACAGTAAGATAGTCAAGATGGAAAAACTGATACTGGAGAAATACATTCGTTGAACAATTGAAAAGAAGAGGGATGCATTACTGACTAGCCTCAAAGATGCATGGCGCCTGATTCGTGCCTGAAGACATTGTGTAAGTGAGGAGTCATAAAACTCTTAGCCTGGAGATTCTCAGCGGTTCTCAGCACTGTCCCTAGCTTGCTTATTGTATAGGTTGCAGTCCCACAGCACTGACGGATTGATTGGTGGTTGCTTAAGTCCAGTGTGCCAGCAGTTCTTTATATCTTTAAGTAAGTCTTGCATTTGCCATTAATTACTTTGTTTTAGGATTTTTGCTTTATAGGGGTAGTACAAGGTAGATTAGAGGAAAGGCACTTATTGGGGACAGAATTAGAACTGGAACTCCATAGACTGCTGGGTTCTCAGACAGTCAGATAACTGCCAAAAAGCAAGTTCTTTTGCTTCTTTGGGCCAATTCCCCACCATGTGGGAGCAGGATGGATACAGTCCCTGACCTTCCAAGTGTAAACCAAGGATCAACAGTGTCAGCCAGGAGACCCTCAGAAAGACAGAATTGGAAGCCCGCCCCAGGGCTTTCAACTCCAGACCTTCATTTCAGAGGGTTTGTAAATTCACTGAAAGTGGAGCACTACTCAGATGGGTCTCCTGGTCATGTTTCAAAGTTCTGTCTTCTAGCTTTCTTCAGCCCTTTACCCACAGGTCCGATGTGGAGTTTTGAGGCTCACTAGTGAGATTTGGCTTCCCTTTCCTCCCTCATTGCTTGTCATTGATGGCAGTGACTGTCATAGTCTGGGTATGACATCACATGTTCCAGCTATGTTTAGGTGGGGACTGAGATGATGGGGTGAAGGAGACAGGAATCCAGCTCTGCTAGCTTTTGCAGAGCTTGGGAAGCAAGGCCAGGTGTGCAGGCTGGACCGCCACCTCCACTCATGGCTCAGCGAAGAGCAGGAGGTGGGCAGGGTCGAGCTGCAGGCACTGGCCTGGGTACTTGCCTGTGTATTTTGAATGTGCTTTTATTACTTGCAGAGGTGAAATTAAACAGTGTCTTTTGGCACAGAAAGACTTCTTTTTATGTCAAGAAGAAGCTTTAATTAAACATTAAATTCTGGAGGGAATTTGAATATAAACTTTACCAAAATAGAAATGATCAGTTGATTCCTTACTACTTGGTCCGGACAGAACAGAGCACTGACACAAAAGGATGGCAGTGTGTTCTGGTTGTTGTCAAGCATAGTAATCCCTCAGAGCCGTCAATGTCAGAGAGTGCCGCCTGCTCCTGCTCACAGGCCTTCCTCGCCAGTCAAGCCCTGTTCTCGTGTAGTGCCCTTGGCCTTTCTGTGCTGCTGGTGCTTCCTGTCCCAGGCCTGGGTCGCAAGACTGCACGTGTGAAACACGCAGCCTTCAGTGTGCTCCATAGTGGCTTCAGTGTGACCTGGAGTAGATTTTGTGAAAGAAAAAGAACACGAGAAAAAGCATGAGCAAAGCCAGACTGCTGGCCCTGGCATCTGCTGACAGAGGGGCTCCTGTGCCACCTAGGTCACCCCCTGGTGGGCGGGCTCTGCCACCAGCCCCTCCAGGAGCCCACATCATCTTTGAGCCCTGCAGTTAGAAACTAAGGTTGGGAGAACCCCTGAAATTTAATCTTCTATAAGAAGCAAAAATCTTCCTTAGGACACTTTTTAAACTGCAACAGACAGAAAAATGCACAAACAGGATACCCTAAGTCCAGGGTCATTTGTCACCAGGGCCTCATGGCATGCGGAAGACCTGAAACAAGTGAAGGAGGCAGCTAGCTGTCTTTCCCTCCTGTTGGCGTTTTCTCCCCAGGCTGCTCGCTGAGCCTTGAAGTCAACCAGGTTTGTGTGAGCCAGCGACGGCCAGTGTGCTGCTGATGCAGGGCTGGTTTCTGCGTTAGTGCACGTCACCAGTTTGAACTGTTTTACCAAAAGAACATTGCCAAGAACGGCTGACTTTTATGCACATTCCACGGCAGAGAAATGACTGACGAGTATGCATATACCAGAAATAAACACAACTGGCATGAGTGGCACAGACTTTCCACACTAATATAGGGGGATAGACGTTCATGCCCTGCGTAGTTCATCTAGGAATGACTGAAAGACACCATTGTCAGAGGATATCGTGAGTTCTGCTGTTCTTATTACTAAACCACATAGTAATAAAAGAAGGATGTCTTTTTAGCATAAAAATATATGAAAACTAGTTTTCTCCTAGATGCATCTAAAACCACTCACTATTCTTTGGGGCCTTTCCTTTATATTCAACTCTACTGATCTTTCATTATTCTGTTTGGGAATTGTATGCAATTTGGGTTCTGGGGTAATCAAAGACACCATTACAGTAGATGTGACATTTAGGTCTTTTGACCTTTAGCAGAAGCATACTGTAGCTTTTAAATTCATACAGGAACATCTGTTTTCTATATTTTTTCATAATTGAAGAAGTTTGCTTGAATTTTACATCCAGTTTTAAGTGCAGCACGCAGTATCTCCACCCTTTGGGCTCACGTGGATGGGGACTGCCCCACGGGGAAAGGGGAGTCCCTGAGAAGAGCCGGGAAATGTGGTTGGCAGTACACCGGATCGCGTGCCTGTGTGCACCCTTGGTCTTAGATATTGGTGAGAAGGCTGGAGGACTCAGGAGGCTGGCTTTGGACTGGAAAGTAACACTTCTAACAAGAACGTGTTCCTCTCAATGTCAAGTGTGTCTTTTTGGCCAAATTGCAAAGGGGAGGGAGAAGGAAGGCCAAGAGAACATCTGTGTGTTGTTAACTAGCATTGCTTCATCTGCTTTTGAAATCCTTCCCTTTTATATATTCAAGAAGTGTTTGTTTTAAAAGGGAAAAATATACTTGTCAGCTATTGTTTCTTCATTGTGCTCCATAGAAGACTGCAAAGATTAAGGAAAACATCCATTTTGGGACTCATGGTGGCCCTGTGGTGACCTCTCTCCTGCCAGGGACAAAGGCAGCTCCCCATCTTTCCTGTCTGGCTCCCATTTTCCCTGTTTCTTTTTTAAGATTTGTTTATTTATTTATTTACTATAGGCTCTCACTGTGCAGCTCAGACTCATAGTGATCCTCCTAGCTCAGCCTTCCCGGTGCTGGGGTTATAGGCCTGCGCCACCATGCCTAGTTTTAGTGGCCAGCATGGCATGAGGTACTGGGGATTGAACCCGGGTCTTGGCACTTGCCTGGCAGGCACTTACACCGCTGAGCTGTTTCCCTGCCCCACCACCTCATTGTCCCTATTTACAGGGACCCTATCTACAGACCACACATGGGGAAGAAAAGATAGGAAGCCCACGCAGAGCTCGTGGTTGGGACTCTGTTGCGGGCCATGATGGGGGACTCTTCCCCCGCACACCCATATGTCATGGCCTGTGCTTTTGTCTTTGCTCTCCCCATACAGATCCAGAGTTAGGTGTTGGCACGCTGCCTGAACATGACAACCAGGATGCAGGGCCGATTGTCCCCAAGATATCTGGCCTAGAGAGGAGCCAGGAGAAGAGCCAGGACTGTTGCAAAGAGCCGACCTTTGAGCCTGTGGTGCTTAAGGACCCGTGTCCTCAGGGCCCCCAGCCACTACCCCAGCAGCCCGTGGAGCCCCAGCTCCGAGCTCCTTCTCCAAATCCTGACGTGGTGCAGCGTGTGGAGGCCCCCACCCAACCACCCCCTCCGAGTACTCAGCTGCCACAAGGCGCCCCAGAGGCCCAGCTGCAGCCCGCCCCGCAGCCTCAGGTGCAGCGGCCACCCCGGCCACAGTCCCCCACACAGCTGCTTCACCAGAGCCTCCCGGCGGTGCAGGCGCCCCCCTCAACCCAGGGCCTCTCCCAGCCACTGTCCGCCTACAACAGCAGCAGCTTGAGCCTCAACAGTCTCAGGTGAGTCCGCCACTCTTCTGCCCAACTCCTGGTGACAGGGACAGATGGGATGGGCCTCTCTAGATGCCTAGCGTTGCCTCTAGCCCTGGCCTCACTTTATCTGTGAGGCTTGAAGGTGGGTGAGACTCAGGTCTCTCTGGAAAGACATAGGCAATGAGGAGAAGGCAGGAAGGGAAGACATAAGAAACAGGTTCGGGCCTATGTCAGGAGCCAGCAGTGGTGAGAAGGGCGAGTGACGCTCTGACTCCTGGGGAAGTCTGAAGGACAGATTCGTCTGTGCAGCCGCAGAAGGGTAGTACCCAAGGACTATTCTGTTTGAGGTTTTTGTTTCCCTGGGATTTGTCTGTTCCTGGTGGGCCAGAGAGGTAGAGAGGAAACTGGCAGTAGAGAGGAAGGAATGGTGCCCGCATGTAGAGCCAGGCACTCTCTGTCTGGTCTTCGTCAGGCTGGGAAGCAGTCAAGTGAGAGGAAAGCTGTGGAGGAGAGGCCCCATGCGTGGGCAGCAGGGCAAGCCCTGGTTGTCCAGGGGTTATAATTCTTATTCCACAGCTCTCTTGAGGCTTTGTGTCTTTGTTATTGTTTTCCTTTTGGAAACTTTGTGACTCTGGTGGCCCCCAGGGACTTGCTCTTTCCTGTCTGGGGCAGATACAGAGTAGCCTCAGGGAGGCAGAGTTCTTCCCCAAGGGGCCAGGCCCTCTCCTGTCTCCTACACCATGCCCACCATTCCCTTGACCTCTGGACAAAAGGCTGGCAGGAGACTCGGCACCCAGTCTGCCCCTTCCTTATGTTTCTTCATGGACCAGGTGGCAGGTAGGCAGGGCAAACTCAGAGCCTCCACTCTGTATGTAGTTTTATAGGAAGGGGGACTGGTGGAAGATGGGAAGGAGGGGTGGAGGTGAGAGTCAGGCATAGAGAGAGAGAAGCCCTGGGGCGCAGGCAGAGCCAGCTGTCCGGGCCAGGTCCTGGCAGTTCTGGGACAGTGGTTCCCCCTGGCTGCATGCCTGGTGATGAGGGAAGAGCATGCAGAAGTGGAGAATTCAGATAGCTGCTGTGTGTTGGGTAGGGTCTAGAAAGAGGAAGGGGCAAGACAAGACAGATGCAGTGCATCGGGGCAGGGAGAGGAGATTTATTTTGAGAAAATAAATTGCTCACCTGCTTTTTTTTTTCTCTTGTCCTGACTCCGACAGCAGTAGCAGAAGCAGCACTCCAGCGAAGACCCAGCCCGCCCCTCCTCACATCTCCCACCACCCCTCCGCTTCCCCGTTTCCCCTCTCCCTGCCCAATCACAGCCCCCTGCACAGCTTCACACCCACCCTCCAGCCCCCTGCACACTCACATCACCCCAATATGTTTGCCCCTCCCACTGCTTTGCCTCCTCCACCACCACTGACATCAGGGAGTCTGCAGGTCCCCGGACACCCTGCCGGGAGCACTTACTCAGGTAGGCCGCAGGTGCTGGGCCGTGCCCGCCTTTGCCCACTGTCCCTTGCTAAGAGACCTCATCGCTATCTGTTGTCCCTGGTGACCACACTGTATTTATGGGCAGTTTTGTGCTTTCTGGGATGTACTCATGTAGTTGTCCTCTCATTGTCTGTGGTCAGGGGCTTAGCAGAAGTACAGCAGGTGCTAACTGACCTGGCACGACCTGGTTAATGCTTGGTCCAAGTGACAACCTCTTGGCAGCCAGTCTCACCACTGGGTGGGAAATCCTAGGTGCTGTGTGCCTGGTGCTCACCAACAGCGTTCCCAGGGCCACCTCCACTCCACTGCAGGAGTTTCGGTTGCATCCTGGCCAAAGGGCTTGTTTCTATTGGCTAGCACCTTCTGCCATCTTCTTGGGAGGAGGAGATGTACTCTCTGTGAGTGTATAGTCCAGAATCTAGAGAACAGACTTGCTGTTAGATTTGGGTCCTCTTCTCATCTGCTGTATTAACCAGCCAGTGTCCCTGTGTTGAGCCAGTCTATGCCAAACTGTACCGCAGTAAGTGACCTTGAAAAGGGCATCAGATCTCTGCCGTGCTAACAGCTGCCAGTAATCAGGGTGCCCTAAGCACTTGACCTTTAGCCCTTCCAGCAAACCAAGGAGGTCAGCCACATCATTGCCCCAGCTTACAGGCAGGAAACTGACTCTTAGGCAGGATATTGTTCTGCCAAGAGTCAGTCACCCGCAGTAACAGGGCTGTTTGGCCTGGAGTCAGTTCACCCCGTTTCATGGGTTGTCCCCCTTTGTGCCAGAGCCTTTCCAGCTCCACCCTGGTAGCTCCCAGCTACTGTGTCCTCAGCCCTATATCCTTCCAAGTGAAAAACTTGGGATACCCTGTTCTGAAGCAAACAGCCATTGCGACTGAAGGTATTCATGGTCTCCCTTCCCTTCTTTTCCAGAGCAAGACATCTTGCGCCAGGAACTGAACACCCGATTTTTGGCCTCTCAGAGTGCTGACCGCGGGGCATCCCTGGGCCCTCCACCCTACCTGCGGACAGAGTTCCACCAGCACCAGCACCAGCACCAGCACACACACCAGCACACGCACCAGCACACCTTCACGCCCTTCCCCCACGCCATCCCACCCACCGCCATCATGCCGACGCCAGCACCTCCCATGGTGCGTACCCCAGGCAGAAATGTGAGGATAAGTCGAGCACAACTCTTTTCTTTCTGCAGCACGCTGGGGTTGGCATGGGCAGAGGGGCCACAGGCATTGGATAGGGAGTGCTGGCTCAGGGGGAGGGGAGATGTCCTTGGGCCTGGCCTGTCTTTTCAGGAGAGAAGGGAGTGTGTCTCATCTCATAAGCTCTAGCTTCAAGGGCCTGTTGTAGAGATTTTTTTAAAAAAACAAAACATAAATGACTCCAAAACAGTCACATCCGGTGTTGGTAGTTAAACTCTCCAAGTGTTGTTTAGTTTCCCTGGGCATTCAGGGGATTGTCTAAAAGGTACCTGTACCACGTACCAGCACATAAATACCTACAGCACCCTGGGAGTAGGGAAGGGAGAAGGCAGGGAGACCTGTCAGGAGGCCTGGGCAATACCAGGTGCCTCCTGCATGGTTTCCCAAGTCTGCTTTGTTAGAGGTGTTCTGTTCTGTTTCATGACAGTGCCCTGTCCCAGCACTGTGTTCTGTCTACAAGTGGTCAGGGACTGATGGGGCCCAAAGACAGAGCTCAGTGTGTAATAAGAGCTACCATGGGCAGTGACATGGTCTTATCTGACAAATCCCCAATGACTTAGAAGTATTTTTTATCTTTCTTTGACTTTTTTTAGTGCTGGGAATTGCATATAGAATCTTCTGCATGTTGGACAAGTGCTTCATCACTGAGCTCCATCCCTATCCTTTTTTAAATTTCTGAGGCAGGATTTCATTAAGTTTCCCAGGCTGGCTTTGAATTTGCAATCCTCTTGTTTCAGTCCCCTGAGTAGCTGGAATTACAGACTTGAGCCACCAAGCCTGGCTAGTGAGGATTTTTGTTTTGAATACTGGGAACTGTGGTTAGTAGAACTGTACTAGAGCTTTACTCTGAGATAGAATTCTGTCTCAGTGGTAGAAGACATTATTACTGAATTTTATTTTTAAGTTATATTTAATCTTTAATGTAATTGGTTTCGAGGCAGTTTATGTAGGCATCATAAGAACAGATGTGAACTTCATGGAGGAGTTCTTATCATGCAACTTTACTTCCTCTTCTTTTCTCCCCCCATTTTGTTCATTTTTTTAAAAACATACATTTTAAAAGAATATTGAACTGAGTCCTTACAACCAAGAACTTTCCTACAGGAAATCCTGAATCTTTTGTTCTGGATGAGCTGTACATCTCAAGAGTCACATTTTTAAAGGCCTCATATTTTGTACAAGTTGTGTGCTGGCCTATTTCACGAATAAACTCTAGCCCAGGGTTGTGAGAGTACCCGGGTGAGGACATTGCTACCTGAAAGAATGATGGCATACTTTTTTCTGTTTGGAATAAAAGCCCAGAGCCCAGCCCACACTGCTGGGGTATCATGCATTGCACCAGACAGCTGAGTCCAGTGTTTGTGCCAAAGAAAAAATGAAAGTGGTGGGAGTTCTTTGGGTAAATCAGACCAAATGCTCGCTTCTGTCTTACACCTGGATAATTGCCCATCTTCTCCAGTTTACAGCTTGCTCTGTGTTGGTCTCCAAGTATATAGAGTAAGCCACCGTGGTATGCCTGGGACCCGTGTGTACCTTAGATAGAGCTTTCCCATTGTTTTCCCACTTCTGTTGGTTTATAGTCCAGTGAGGTTACTGAGCCTGGCCACCATGACACACAAGTTGTCGAGGGTTACCTCCACTGATGCAGTGAACAAAAAATGCAGATGAAGTAACTAGCTTTTGCTTTGATCCCTTTACAGTTTGACAAATACCCTACAAAAGTTGACCCCTTCTACCGGCACAGTGTGAGTTGTATTACCATGCTACACATTCAATGTCACTGCTCTTGCCTTCTCGTGCTCTTGCCACCGATCAGTGAATGACTAGCGGCTTCCTTAATCATCTTTGCAAGAGTTCCCATCGCACCTTGTCACTTTGGATGCTTGCTTTTGTGGCATTTTGCTTTTGGTAAAGATGCAGTATTGTCTTCTGAAACAAAAGATCACCAGCTCACCCAAGACTAAAGCGGTGGGGTGCATGGGAGGTCAGGCCTCTGGCCTGCCAAGGGGTGCCCGTGGGGAATCATTATGGCTGCTGAGGGGAAGGTCACAGCCCTCAGCCCTCAGTTGAAATGCCATTAACAGCTCCTGGAGCTCAGCTTGAGTTGTGTCCTCACAAAGCTCCGTATCTTTTTGACTCAACTTCAAAAGGTAGACTTTCCCTCTTCAGCATGGCTGGCACTGTGCTCTTGAGCTTGTGTCATTCGTTAATAAAAATATTAAAATATCTTAATAAAAGAATTCTTAAAATCGAATACTGTTTTTCTCCAAATTCATTCTTTATATAAAACACTGCTTGTTAATTCATTCCAGGAGTTAAATTGGTGCCAACTTGAGTTGTAAGTCCAGTTATAAGACAGTTTCTCTTTATACAAAGGGGTTGAACATTTTACCGTGGTATTTTGATTCTGGGGTAAATACTGCATCATTTTTACCTGGAAATTTGCAAGTTTCTTTGCTTTATAGTTTATATTTTTAAGTAAAACCAGAAGAAGAAAATTAATCGTTTGTTTGCAGCTGTGTTGAGTCGCCATGTGTAGTTCTTTTGCTTTGGTTTTTAGATAGCATTGTCACTTCAGCAGAAATGCTATTTAACAGATCAGCAAAGAATAAATTCATTCCTATTTTAAATGTATAATTAGACACTGTTAGTCAAGAGTAGCTGAGAAGTCAAGACTGGAAAATATTAGAAATCAATTGAGAATTCTTTAGAGATACTCAGAACATGAGGAAATCCACTTCAGGAGGAATTAAGAAGTGCATTTGAGGGACTTGCTCCCACAGATTACTGGGCTTCACTCAGCACTACCGCAGGAGTGTTTCTAAGTGAACTCCAAGTCCTGGAGTCATCCATGGGTCCGGCTTTGGGCCTGCCCCAGAGTGCCACCATGCTGCCCCTAGCCTGTGCTTTGCCTCGCACCAAGGAAATAGTCCTTGTGGAAGCCCCGTGTGCTGAGCAGGTGGCTCTGCCTCACTCCCTGAGACGGGCGGCACCTGTGCACACGTTCCACAGAGACCTGGGTTTAGGATGAAGTGCAAGCCAGAGGCCTGCGCAGCAGAGAGCTCATGCTTTATTACTTAGGGGCTTCAGGTTTTTAGTCAAGAGGGGGATAGTCAGCTACATTTGTATCCTGAGATTTAAGTAACAGAATAAAGCAAAAGGAAAGTGGTAGGAACATACAATTTTATTGTAAATATTAAAGGAAAAATGCCCACCTGGAGGCAAAGTAATAGAAATCTGAGTGTGTTTTAGCATGGCGTGTATTTAATTACTCTGCTTTATACAGTGTACTGTGGGAGAGTTAGTTGGTATTATTAGTTACAGCGATAATCCATGAAGCACGTAGCTTTGGGGATTAAGGCATTAGAGGGGGACTGAGATGCAAGGCCCTGAAGTATCTAAGACACAATTTTAGACTTAAAAGTAGTGGTAACTGAGGGCAACTTAGCTTGCCATCTCTACTTAAGCGAATTTAGTTCAATATCAATTAGTCGAAACAATGTTGCCTCATCATAATAAGGGAGCAAAATAAAATAAAGACCGAGAGAAAAAGTGCATGCTCTGAAAACAGCATTGTGAACGGCGAATTTCAGTTTTGACTAAAAAGAAGTAACAAAGGCATTATGAAGAAAAGCTCAGTATTGCACCTTTTTAGTACACTGCACAATCCTGAAGATGGGGTGTTATTTCTGTGTCCATATGCTGCTTTACTCAAAGGAAATTGAGTCCAAAAAAACGGAATCTCAGATATATTTTTTTTGCTATCAGGAATCAAACCCAGGACCTTGTGCTTGCCTGGCAGGCAGTATGCTACTGAGCTATATCCTCAGCCCAAATATAAATTTGTTAAAAGAGGGAGAGATGCTTGCATTATCTTTTGCCTCTTGTATCCACAACTATATCTTGCGTCCTTTGTAAGCTAATGATTCAAGAAAATTCACATTCCTCATTCAAATCCGTTCCTATGGCGTCATTGAACGGTCAGACCCTTGTGTCGACAGCATGGCTTGAGCAGCCGCCGCTGCGCTTGCTTATTGCAGAGCAGAGCAGTGGTGCCTCGGTTCCTGAACTTAATTCATTTTCCTTCCACGATTCTGGAGGAGATGGCTGTGTTCCCATTCATGTGGGAAGAATGGCCACGGTTCTGTTCCTCACCCGATGCAGAGGCCACAGACAAACAGAATGTTGCCGAAGGCCTCCATTTGCAAGCCAAATTGCACACAGAAGTGCTCAAGGAACCCAGCTACAACTGTATTCAAACCTGGCCATAAAAATACGGGCTTCACATACCAGCACAGAAGGGCTCTAAGTACCTAGAACTCTCGGAATGGGTATTACAACTAGATAGCGGTAATGCAGGCTTAGCGTTAGTGGTAGATAGCAGAGGGTATCTCTCTGCTTCTATTACCCACCTTCTAGAAAATGTGGCTGCTCCACTGAAAGTGTATACTAAGTCATTTTATTTTCCCTTTCCACAAATATTTGTCATCATATTAGATAAGAAAGTCAAATTGTCCTCTGGAACTGCCACTTCTAGAACAACCTAATGAAGCAAGGATTGTGAATATGTTCTCATTTCCGCAAACTATTAAAAATCTAAAAGTACTAATTGAGTTTTAATGGCACAAAATCCTGGCATTCATAAAGACTTGCTTCTTTTTCTTCCTTTTTTTTTTTAAATTCTTTTCTTTTTTTCTAATTAACTTGTAATTATCTGGGCCTCTTATTTGGCTCAGCTTCCCTCCTGTTTTTGATATGCATTAAAAGCTCTAGCCATTTAGGACTTCTATGCGATTTACCAATTAATAATTAGAAAAGCCTCCCTTTCTAATGATGTCCTCATCTGGGACATCATTTGTTGGCTGATTGATTCTGAACTACTTTTAACTTTTTAAGTTAAACATTCGTGGCACATCTGTGTGATCATCTCATCACGGCTTCTTGGCTGATAGCACCAAGCTGAGATTACTTGGCTTGCTAATGTCGGTGTCTTTCTGTGGGAAGGGAACTTGAATAAATCACTTGCCTCCTACTAAAATGGTTTTTCTCCCTCTCCGTCTTTGGCCACAGCTCTTCCATTCCTACCCTCCTGCAGTATCGGGCATCCCCCCCATGATCCCACCCACTGGCCCTTTTGGTTCACTACAAGGAGCATTTCAGCCCAAGGTAAGAACCTGACAGTGAAGACAGGTTTCTAGTGGCGTCCCCCGCTGGGCATGCAGGGGACTTCTGTGTCTGCCTGCCCAGTGACTACTTGGTCAGAAACAAAGCGAGCATGGGATGAGGGTGAGAACATTTGCCTGCAGTCCATCTAGTTCTAAACCTCAGCAAATAGTTTCTGCATTTCAATCTCGACTACCATGTAATCTCAGTTGAGCTAAGATTTCCTATGCTCTGTGAAATATGCAGAATATATAGTAGACATATGTTAAGTTTTGGGGTTTTTTTCCCCCAATAATGTGACAGAAGCTTCGAACAGGAATGCCATGAAATGCCAGACATATGTGCACCAAGTTGTCCTTGATTCTAATAACAGGGATAGGAAACAGAAGTTCCCAAAGTAAAGCTGTGTCCTGTGAATTGTCTCAGGGAAGAGGCTTCTTCTACCTGTTCCCTCTCACAATCCCAGGCACCCCATCCCTCTGAGAACAGCGTCTGCCTGCGGCTGGTGGGCAGCTGGCCGCCTTTTGGCACTGTACCCCTCTTTGCATGCTCCCCATTTTCCAAGCCCTCCTCACCAGGGTCACACTTGCCAAATTCAGGACTCTATCATCTGTTTCCAGCATCCCAGGATGAAATTAGGCCCTTACTCTTTACAGCTAAATTCTTTTGTCAGCTATGCCTCTCAACTTGGGCTGCAGTTACCTCAGGGGGTCAGTAAGGAAGACAAATTTTCAAAATTATTTTAAGATCTATTTTGGTTCCCTTTGTACTTTCGTATAAAAAAGTAAAATGTACTTCTCCTGTTGGTAATGTTCTCAGATTTTAAAGCAAGACAGTTTACTGTGTGTGCGCTTTTCTTTTTCCTTTCACCCCATTTCTAAGATAGACATGCACTGTGGGCCAGACTCTCCCAAGGGGAGCGCATGCTGCGCTTCCAAAGGCTTATTGCCTTCAAACTAGAACTAGGGAAGGAAATTAAAAGGCATTGGGGTGGGCTTGCCGCACCTTCACGCTGACGCAGGTCAGCATGGGATTACAGATTATAGGTTATGTATATGAGGGGCTTTCATGGTGGTGGCCCTGGTAAGAGCCTCCTATCTCGAGATAAAATAGTGGTGATTGTGAAAAGCCTTCCTTCCAACCTACTCGTCACTACCTCAGACCCTGATCCGTCCCCTTTAGGCTAGGACAAATCTCTAGTGCATCCCCAAACAGACTGGTAGGTCATTTAATAAATTAGACTATTTCCCTCACTCAGAATTATCCAATCACACAGAAAACTACATCTGGGCAAGAAAGTGTCTCTCCTGGTGTTGAAATAGGCCTTTCCAGGCCATCTTCCTGATTGAATATGTAGATTGCGGTTCATTAGTGGAGTTCTTCATATGTATGCAAATCAGGCTGTTAACAACTCCAGCTTAATTGTTAGTTGTGCTGCAGCTGATTGCTTTTCTTTCTTTCGTTCCTCTCTTACCCCCTTCCCCTTGTAGGCGAGATCATGCCTAAACTTGAGCTTTTTCTACATGAGTTAACTTGTATGGGGGAATGCATAGGAGTTGTGATGTCTTAAATAAGTGGTGTGAGTTTCTAGATCCTCTTCCCACGAGATGGTAGCGACTCTATCCAAAGTAGACTTCGCCTTGTTGATAATTCAAAGGACAAAAGCCTGCTGCTAAGGTTAATATTATTATTGATACTTAAAAATGGTAGTGGGACTAGGAAAGACAAAGGCAAAATCTAATAGTAGATCTGTGTGGTCCCGAAATTAGGTTCTTTTGTCCCACTCCTACTGCTGCTAATGAATAATTACTGAGTGTAATTTCTTGTTATTTGTCTGCCAGTTAAAATTTAGAGAGTTAGCTTAATGTCTGTAAAATACTGTCAGCTTTTCTGATGAGAAGCACCTGATACTGCGAATTATGATAACATTCATTTAAGGATTTCTTGGAGGGTTTGGTGATAAAGCAAAAAGAAAAACAATTGTGTCAGTACTGTGGGTGCTGGGAAGAGAAGTTATAAGGGGTAGCAGTTTTGTCTTTTGCTTCTTTTTTGAGTCCTATGCTTTTTATTGCCTGAAATATGCTCGGGTGTCCGCTCTGGTTTAGACAGATGCTGTGACATGAGAGAGCAAGCAGCCGTTGGCCAGAGCCCATGCACAAACAGGGAGCAGGTTCTTGTGGAGAGTATGCATGCACACACAGACACGGAGAGGCCTAGGCCTCAACCCAGAGTGAAACCAGCAAATGAAGTTTCGCTTCTGTCATTTAGAATGAAGGAAAGATCTTGCTTTTATGTCCCATGTTCTGTGCTTCCTAAGCTGTGGTCTAATTAATTTGTAGACATCCAACCCTATCGATGTCGCCGCTCGGCCTGGGACAGTCCCACACACTTTACTCCAAAAGGACCCGAGGGTACGTGCAAAGTCAGGCTTGGTCTCAGGTAACACCAGGGGAGCTTGCATCCCCTGCCCGTCCAGCACTGCGCCTTCTGCAGCCCATTTGCCAGAGATACTGTTTCAGCTCTTCCTTTGAGTTTGTACAGGAAAGTGCCTATCATTCTTAGGAGATAAAGGCCGTCCTGGGGACCAAGGGAAAACACAAGAGCACAGATTTGCAAGTGCAAATAGACAGGAAGGAAGAGCTTACTTATACTCTGAGCCCCCAAATTGGACACTGCTTGTCTGGTTTCTGCTTAACCACTCCTCTCTGTCTATAGGTCCTTAAATTTCTCTTACACAAAAGAAATAACTACCAAATTTTTTGAATGGAAAAGCACTGAATACTTTTCCTCCTGGAAGGTAGCCTCCTCTTGCCTGAGGTCAAGAAGTTGCAGGACCATACTGCACTTGTGGCCCTCTGTCTTTAATATTACAGGGATCCCTTGTTCTCTAGAGCTAAATGAAATATCCATTGCGCTTTGGCCATGTTATTTTATAATGCTCCCTACCTCCAAAGAAAATTTGAAGTTATGCAATAGATATACTCTTGTACAGAACTTATGTTTTGAAATATAGTCATTTTTATGCTTTATCAAAAAAATAGATATACTCTTGTCTATTGAGTACTGTTTATAATTATCTTTATAGTAAAAAAAAATCCCAATTACCTTTTACAATATTGTCTTATTCCCTGCATAAAGACAGTCAGAAATCAATGGTGAGAGTTAAGTAGAAGTTAAAAATGACTCCACTGAGTATCTTTATATGTTTAGTGAGTTTCTTAAAGACATCTAGCACCTGTAGATGATGCCCAGTTGTGGAAAGGAGGAGATTTCAAAAGAGTTTGATGCTCCCTTGCAGCCTGCGCCTGCCCTTCAGCCCGGGTCTGCAGGCCTGTCTCCTTTGGCTCACCCCGGGGTAGTGTGGCAGACACTGAAGACAGGCACCTCCAACGAGTAACCCAGCACATCCCAGTGCCAGAGGGCACACTGCTGCTGTTGATGCAGCTTGTACAGGGGCTTGTCAGGCCGGGGAGTGGGGGAGGGGACACTTGGTACTTTTGATAGTGTGAAAATGGGCTAATTATTCTCTAAAAGGGCTTCATTTAAAAGTAAAATTCTAACATTTTAATTTCCCCTCCTAATGAAGCACTACAAATTTGTTAATTAGAGCAATTGTTTGAGTGACAGGCGTGTAACCAAGTTGTCATTTTCTCTTCACAGTTGACAGATCCTTTCAGACCTATGTTAAGGGTAAGAAAGCTTCTTCTAGAACTGTTTCGCAACCTCTGTCTGACTCCCTGTGGGTTAAAAATACAAGTCTATAACAAGAAAATAAGCCTTAGAAATGTTGAAATAAAAGGTCAGAGTAACAGTGGTTGGGTTTTGCAGGCAATATAATTAAAAATAGCCTCAATTATTTTGCTTTGAGTGTTGGAGAAAGCTAGGCCATTGACTTTTTTTTATTCTTCTAACAGATAAAATTCAACCGAGTCAGATTCTGGTGTCAGTAGATCTGCTGAAGGATTTGACTATTTCGATCTTAAGGGGAAAGATTTAAGCCAGCGGCTGAAGTCAATCTTTCTTACCTTTAGAAAATACAAATGTTGGATCTGTTTGTTTTGGCCGGTAGTTCCTTATTCCTAAGTGACTTTGATTTACCTACCCATTAGACCTATTCCTCTGGCACAGGAAGGGATGCTACAGGAATTGGTTTGTTTCACATCTTGTTAAAAGCAAATGTTCGCAAGATCTGGAACTTGACCAGCCGCTGACCTCCAAGTGGGTGCTGGGTGCCAGAGACAAAGGTGATGGATGGTTGGATGGAAGATGGATGGACAGTAGATTTCCTCCTCTGCACAACCCCCTTGTGGTGCATACTATCAGACAAGTCATATATATATATATATATAAAACCATAATTCCATTACAAGAGGGAAGAAATGGTCCAGATTTGAATTTAAAATTTCTAAAACCATAAATTTCTGTCCTTTGCCAGTGTAAAACAGGGTTATGTTTTCTTCTCATGCATTCAGTAGTTACGCACTTGGAGCGTAAGGGTAGATTATCTGCCTTCTAGTTGGTAGAAGAGAATCTACGTGAAGCTGCTGTACTGCTCAGAAGGCAAGGCAGCAAATAATTAGACTTGGATTGATATATCACTCCTCAGAGGGCAGAAGAGAGAACTGACATCTGGGGGAACCTAGAGACCAGGAAGGAAGAAGTTCTTTTTTCTTTTCCTTTCTCTCCTTTTAACTTAGCAGTGAACGGTGCTTACCAACACAAGTGGATAGTTGGCTGTAAGTGAAGCATTTGTGACCACTGGGCTTGAATTTAAATAGGATACATTTCTTTATACCACTTTGAGGGTTAAAAGAAAAGCAGTCTCAGGGGAGGTTATGACAGGTCCTGTACCCTTTCTTGTTTTGATTTGATTCACAGACAGTCCCTAATTAGCTCTTCTGAACAGCTGATTTGCATTATAGCATGGCAGCATTTGTTAAATAGGACTTCCTACTCTGCCAGTCCTGCCAGCTGGCACTAGACAAGAAAGAGAGAAAGACACAAAGTGGACTTTTGCCATCTTGTCCTTGGTAACTGGGACAAGATGGGTTTCCTGAGCCGTAGCTGATGTCTCAAGCCCATGTGGGAAGAGGGGCCAACGAGCTGTGACTCTCACGACTGGGCATTGGGCAGAGGCCGACAGAGGCACTTGGAGGGTACAAAGCGCTCTTGTCATTTCATGAAAAAAGCCTCTGTAGCCGAGATCTGCTGAGAGCATGGGGGAAATGGAAAGCGGTTTCTCTGAAGTGTCTTTCTTCTGACCACATTGTTCTTTCTTGTTCCAGAAACCAGGGAAGTGGTGTGCAATGCATGTTCACATCGCCTGGCAGATTTACCACCACCAACAGAAAGTCAAGGTCAGTGGGACCTTCTAGTTCAGGGCGGAGCTGGGGAGGGGAGGAGTGTGAGGAGCAACTGAATAGGGAGTCTAAAAACATAGTCTAAAACACATAGGCAGGAAAGTTCAAGACCCGCTGGGGAGGAGTGTGAGGAGCACCTGAATAGGGAGTCTAAAAACATAGTCTAAAACACATAGGTAGGAAAGTTCAAGACCCGCTTGGAAAAGCTAGTGAGCAATCTTATTAAGTAATTAGAGAAACCACCAGCAAAATTGCAGACCGATAACTTCCTGGTATAGGGCTTAAATATGGATTAAATCCTAAAATAAAGGTTTAAAATCTAAGTATAGTGAGCTAGAGTTAGAAGATGAAAAACAGTAGCTCAAAAGAATAAACAGTGAATGTTTTATTTTGCTTTTAAGTAATAAGTGGTTTATACTTTTCCTTTATGGCTTTGCAAAAATGATAAGAAGCAATTCATGCCCTGTATGAAGAATACCATGCTGAACAGCTATTAGCAATCATATAATTAATGACTGTTCTTCTAGAAGTCACTCTGAGTTTGCAGTGACCTCTCATTATTCCTTCTGGTGACCAATGCCAGGCATTAGAATGTAGTCAGTACTGTCAGGACCACCTTCTAGCCAGTTACCCTGTCTGTGGATGAATCTGTGTGTGCCTGTGGGTTTTGGTCACGTGGTTGACTCTATCCCACGTTTTACTGAGCCTTTATCACACAGTAGGGAAAAGAACAAAAACTACAAGGAATCTGATGTGGGGCCAGTGCTTGGCTTAAGGGACAAAGTAACTCACAAGTCCGATTTTATGGCTGGCAAAATGGTAGGAAACATCCACCCAGATTACTCCAAGAGCCTTCAGCTAATCTGTCACTTCGTGAGCAAGCGTTTATCACCTAATCCACTGGTTCACGCACAAGCTTTTCATCCTGACAGCGTGTGAGCGCCATCAAGGCCGACGAGCGAGGCGTGAGAGACGCGCTCTTGGGAGAGAGTCCCGGGAAGGAATGTGGCCATTGCACACTGCAGACACGTACTAAGGAAACATAGAAATTGAAACAAACCAAAAACCTAGCTAAAAGAGAAAAAGCAAACTTCAGAAAAGGAGCAAAGCTCCCCAAGACATTTCTCCTCGGTTGCCAGACACCTGCTCTTTCACCTGGCGTCCCATCAGTGAGTTTTGCTCACTTTTACTTTATTGTGAGGCAAGGTTTAATTGGGAGCCTTACGGTTTATCGTCACTTGGAAGTGCTTGTGCTCCGCAGAGCTAACTAGCTTTTGATGATCAGTTCATTTTGGTTCTGGATGACGTGGTGAGCAGAACAGTAGGTAAGGCATGTCTCCCTCTTAACTCCTTTGGTTTAAAGCAATGAAGGATGTTGTATGTGCCACTTTAGCAACTTGTTTTCCATAAAAGTGTCCCTGGTGACTTAAACTTTCATTATCCCAATTCAATTAGCAAGACCTCTTGAACGTGAGATAACTGTTCATCTTCCCTTCCCAGCAAACAGTTTGTAATCCCCCAGCTCCATTTTGCTTCATGGACCTAAGTTGTGTTTAATGAAACTGTGCTGTGTACCATGCAATATTAGCACTAAATAATTTGGCAACCAAATTAAAGTAGGTACTCCAAAGATTTTTGTAGATTTATAGTGAATTAGAAACTTGGATTAGGGGTTTGGCTATTACTTTACAGTGGGACTTTCATTAGCATATCCTGGATAGATTAGGGCAGAAATCACATTGTTTGCTTTCTCTTTGACATTCATTCACTCATTCATTTAGTGACTCACCTAGTACTTATTGGGAATCTGCCACCCTTGGGTTACTTACCGTGCCAGGCTGAGGGCACTCGTCTCTCCTGTGGTTTAGTTCCTGAAATGTTCCGTAGGGAGGATCAGTGTGTGTGTGCATCGGTGACACAAGTGCTGTGGGCTTCCAAGGGGTGTGGCTTCTAGCGTGGGGTGCTCGGGGAGGTTTCCCTTTTAAATGAGGGCAATGCAAGGGTAAGATTTTGACCTGCAGCAATTAGGGACCGGTAGGGTTTCCTCACCTCCGACCCTACCCCCACGCATGTCCACGTAGATGCTTTGTCAGCCCTGTCATTGCACAGGCGGCAGAGGTCACTCAGAACGTAAGAGAACTGAGGTGGGTTCAGTAGGGGGCCAGGCAGAGCAGGCTGAGAGCAGTGCGGGAGCAGGAGAGTGGTGGAAAGGAAGGCAGCTCACAGCCTCAGGTCGCAGGCTCTCGGCCCCCAACCGGGGGCATGAAGCTGATTCCAAGAGAAGAAGCAAGAAGGTGGGCCACTGGAGCCACACAGGGCCACCCACCTGAAGATACAGGCCAGTGTCTGCAGGCTTAGAGGAAGGTGAGCCGAAGGATTAGCTTCCAGGTGGACGGCAGGGGCTTCCCAGCAAGAGGCGTCCATGTTTGCTGGTTTGGGCTGACTTCCTCTTCAGGTAGCTGAGAGAGTAGGAAAAGAGAGGGCCTGTTAAACCCAGTGCCTCACCTTAGTTTCATCTGTTGTTGTCTTTTAAATATGCAGCAGTGATCACTTGAAAATTAGCTTGTAGGCACGGAGATATTTCTTCATAATATTCAGTTACTAATGTGCTGTGATCTATTAGAGTACGGTAAAGTCATTAAACAATTAATTTACACAGTAGATTATTCATGCAGAATTCCTAATAAAATGAGCCTTAAAGTACTATCATTTTAAAACTTGCTAAAATGGTCCTTTATAGCAGAGTAATAAACTACTCCAAGAGTAGAGACAGCTTGAATAAATAGGATTTGCTCGTGTTCCTTAATCTTCGCAGCCCCAAAGTCAGAGCACTCGCTTGCCTCTCGCAGTCTCCAATGTGAGAAGCAGGTACTGTGCAGCAGCGGGCCCTGTAGATCTCTGCCAGGTGCCCCCGCTAGCCTTCCCCGTGAGCATTGATGGGTTCTGGGTTGTTTCACCTCACAGTGTTTGTCAACTGGAATCCGAATAGGGCTCGGTGCCCAGCACTCCACTTGTACAGCTCAGCCTGCCGGGCCCAGACTCTTGGTTAGTGTCTTTCTTGGGATTCCATGTTTGTCCCCCTTGCTGCTTTAGAAACAGATGCAGTCAGACCCACATAAGTTGGACTTTGGACTGAAACCTGAGTTCCTGAGCCGCCCTCCAGGCCCCAGCCTCTTCGGAGCCATCCACCACCCCCATGACCTGGCCCGGCCTTCAACTTTGTTCTCTGCTACTGGTGAGTTCAGAGGGGGAGAGGAGAGCTGACAAATGTAGTTCTCGGGTAGCTAAATTACTTCTGTGCACGCCCTGCACCACATAGCCTCCTGCTCAGTCCCTGCCTGCTGAGCACCATCTCTGTCCACTGGGTGGGTGGCCCCTCTCCATTGATGCACCTTCTTTCATTAAAGAAGGAAGAGATCATCTCTCCTTTTGGGCCCTCCTATTGCTTCAGCTTATTGTTTGCTTCTATATCACACCAGTATAACTCACAGGCATGCCAGTTGCCATTGAAACCAATCAGAAAGCTTGCCGAGGGTGCATCTGAAGGAAACATTGCCAGAAACGCTAGAACGATGTGGCTGCCCATCCCGCAGGTGCCCACAGCGTGCTCGGTGACTTTGTGCCTCCCCCTCCTCCAGGGATAAAGACAGTCTGTAATAAGCCTGTGACCTCGTGGCTGCCGCCTGGCTTTCTCTGCTGTAGCACTTCATATTCCCCGGCTTGGTAGAGTGATGGAGGAAATGTAGGGAGAAAGGTGTTCCATCATTAGGCCTGTGACCTAGCCATTGGGTTCGTCATTCGTTTAACCTCTGAGAACACATACTTCCAAGAGTCCCTTGAGTGTACTGGAGGGGACCTCGGGGAGAGGAGCATGGGATGTGTGCGTGCGAGAACTGCCCTTCCTGGGCCAGGTACCTGCAACCCGAAGGCAGTGGGCATCCAGCATATTCAGTGGATGAGAACAGCCCCTGTGGTGTCCAGGGCTTCTCAGCTATCTTTTTAAAACTTATTTTTAGTGCATACTCCCTCACATAGCCCCTACTCAGTAAATACTCAAGAACAGTGGCATTGAACTTGTTCTGGTAACAAGCTCTATAACTTAATACCCCACTGCACTAAGTAGAATTTATTCTTTTGAACATCAACAGTGAAGGGGCCCGCTGTTTCTGACCCTCAGGGAACAAGTTTCATATCCATTCTGCTGGCTGCCTTTCCAGGCTTCGATCCAAGACTCAATTTTGGTGGACTCTTCCATCGAGGAAAAGAGAAATAACCCACATTGCAAGGAGTCATTATTATTGTGGACCTTGTTGCCAATGCAAGTGAATCACCCTTGAGGGTGGATGGAATTTGCTAAGATCTCAGGTTCTGCTCCATCGGTTCTGTCTTTAGGGACATACTTGAAGGCTCCGTTACCATGGCACCTAGCTCTGAGGCAGGGCTACATTAAGAGCAGTTTTTGGAGAGAAAAGGAGAAATTTCTCCTTGGCTTTCATTTGAGTCAAGTGGATGAACTGGCTTCTCGTGCTTCAGTACTTCTGGAGCCGTCAGCATCCCTGGAGACCTGGGGCTGAGCATGTCTCTGGTCTTCATGGAAGCTTTAATTAGCTTGTTCTACACAGACAATGTGGGGCCGAAATTACATTTACCTGGCAACACTGGCAGTGCCTAATGAAGTTCTGGAGGAGATGCGCTGTGGAGATGGGGTGCCATTTTAACACTTCCTAGGTGGAAAATGAGCCACCATCTTGGCTGGGTGGACCACCCCTTGGGTGCCTGCAGCTCCAGTGATTCTGTCCGTGACTAAATTTTGTCCCATACTGTGCGTCTCACTCTTCTGCCCTAGGCCCATGGGACCCTCGCAGCCCAGGGAACAGTAATGTAACCTTTAAGCTGAGTTAATAAAAGCACAGTGAGGAGCAAGCCTCCTGTGTTTCATCTGTGTTCCTGAGATTTGTATTTGTTTATAGGAACTTAGACAAAATGTAAGAGATTAGGAAACTTTCTCAGTAAGCTAGTAAATCCAGGCCTGTTTATACGGGCAATCGTTTTGTGTTAGCAGTGTGGGGTTTCGTCCAAAGTGCTTGTTTGGTAAAACTTCTAACTGGTATTTATAACTTGATCATACTTGTTAAATGCAGCTGCTTTCATCTACTGAGGGACCAAAGCATGACATGAACCCAGCCTTCTTGAGGTGACCCTGGCAGCACTCTGGTCCCCAAGCCGCCTTCTCCAGTATGCAGTGTGAACATGAGCTCAGTGCCTGGAACTCGTACAAACACTGCCTCCGCCCTCAGAAGCCCACCCTCTTTTGTTCCTTTCCCAGCATCCTTCAGAAACAGGATTTGAGGCAACAACAAGTGTGTGTCATACATGCTGTGGAGGAAGAAATGGGATCAAGGGAAAATGAAGGCCAAGAAGGCCTCTAAGCTCTGGCAGGCAGAGAAAAAACTAGGAGAGGCAGTTATATGTGTTTTGGTGTTTAAAATGTGTGAATAAAGCAGGCTTTCCTGGCACTGAAAATCAAGAGCCCTTAGAGCCCTTCATCTCCCAGAGCCGCATGTAACGTGGAGCGACACATACACATCGTTGAGCCTTGTGAGATCCTTCATTGTAGGTGTGTGAGAGCAAACGTTCTCCTAGGGAAAGAGTGGGGGCTGTGTGGAGACCACACAATGCAGCCCAGGCCTGAGCCCCAAGACAGCTCCCGGCTGGCCAGAGGTCTTCAAAGGGAGAAGCTTGCCTGCGCCCAGGTTGTGAAGGATCCCAAGACCAGGGCTCCCCTCCTAGAGAACAGGTCCCAAGATGAAGAGCCTTACTTCACCTCTGTGAACCCAGGGCTTCTCCAGATTTCCTTGGCTGCCGACCTGCTCCTCCATGCCCCAGCCATCATCTCCATGTTTCTAATATGAGAAAGCAGTGCCTAGTTTGGTGGTGGTCTGCCCCTCCAGGAAAGAGGAGGAGAGGTGGGTGGCTCTGCTGCTTCACAAGGATGTCTTCTTTGCACCGTTGTGGCACCTGCAGGGCCCTGGGTGGATCCTAGCCATGTCTCTACGTTAACGTTCCCTCTGGGCGTCTGAAGACAACTTGCTTGCTAGCAGGTAGCTTCTGTGACCGCTGACTTGGTTGTGTTTGGCTTGGCAGGTGCTGCACACCCAACCGGGACCCCCTTTGGGCCACCTCCTCATCACAGCAACTTTCTCAACCCTGCTGCTCACCTAGGTGAGTCGGCTCCCCGGGGTGGGAACTGCTGTTGTGTGCCTGAGACATTCGGGCTGTTCTGGCGCTCCTGCTTCCTGGGCGGCGCATCTGTGCCTGTGCCTGTTCCTCCTGCCCTGCTGCAGGATGATGGCGCCCTCGGCACGTGCCCCACCTTCAGGGTCTGCACCACTCTCCTCCGGTGTAGATCTGTGCTTAGTTGTTCTTCCATCTGGAGTTCATCAGGGTGCTGTGGGGAAGCTGCTCCTGGGTGCTTCAGGGCTCAAGGTTAGCACTGCCTGGCCCTGCCCATTGGAGGGAGAAGGTACAGTCTTGCCCCACAGCTGAAGGGTACCTCAGGAGAAGGAAAAAAAGTGTGATGTTATAAAGAAGTTTTTATTTTGGTTACTTCGCCTTTTATTGCCCTACTAATGTGTCACCGCCTAAGAAGAGTTTATGCTCCCTGTGGTCTCCATGATCTGGTATATTCTGCATGTGCACAGCAGATGCTGGCAGTGGTGGTGCGCATAGCAACAGGCTGGAGGCGGAGATTAATCGCGCAGAGATTAACTTTAAAGTGTTAGAGCCTGCGGACCCCACTCCTGGGAGAGAGGCTGGGGCAGGACGGCGACAACATCACCATGTGAGCTCAGTCCCCGGGTAAAGGAGGAACGAGGCAGAATGCAGCATTCTAGAAAAGGCACCCTTGTACACATTTTGCCAGCCAGTACCTAAGTCCAAGTGTGAGAAGAACCTTCCACCCAGGGCAGCAGAAGTGAGACAGGCACAGAGAAGGCGGGGATCCCTGTTACTCTCCCCAGCTCCGGGAGCAGAGCCGGTGACCATTTCCTTCTTCCCAATTTTGTTTGCAGAGCCTTTTAATCGGCCGTCTACGTTCACAGGCCTTGCGGCAGTCGGTGGCAATGCCTTTGGGGGACTTGGAAACCCTTCAGTTAGTGAGTACCTCTAATTTTTTCAAATCTGCCTGGACTGTTTCTCTCCTCTGACCTGTGTATGGTTGCATACCTTTCTAGATAAAAGGAAACTATGTTCTTGGGAAACAGACTTAGGTTCTATCCTTATAAAAAGTAGTACAGAGCGGTAGAGTTAGACCAAGTGTGCAAAGCCTCCACTCTACAGACATCCCTCAGCCAGTGTGTGGTGCTGAGGTCTGGAGGGCAGTGGGCTTGGTTACTGTCCTGCCCGAAGCTGATGAATGCTTACAGTTCATCCATGTCCCATTTCTGCTAATCAAGATTTTGGCAACAGCTCGCATTAGGCATAAAAACAACTTTTAAATTTTTTTCTCGGCTCTAGGGGCTTGCCAGTTAGCTCAGTTGTTTAAGCGCCTGCATGGGCAAACCCAGTCAGGCGTGGGGGACTGCTGTTCAATCCCCAGCTGCACATGCTACACCAGACCCTCCCTTACAGCAGCCTGAGCCAGCCAAAATAAATAAATAAAAATAAAAATAAATGTTATCTCACCTCTGGCACTGGTGGGATCAGAAAAAGTACATTGAAGAACAGCAGGCTCGAAACAAAAAGCTGGCAGCGCTTCCTGCCTCAGGATCTGCAGGAGAACCAGGTTTTCTACTGTTAAAAAGTTCATCTTGAATAAGAAGAGAATTGTAGCCCTCTCTCATGTCCTGGGCCGCTCTCAGCCACCAAATCCACAATGGCTTTTCCAATGCCACATTTCATATTTCTGGAGTACAGGTGACCTGGGACGTAGCTCTGAGCCCAGCATCACCATGAAGGTTTTCTTTAAAACTCAGCATGGTGACCGCACGCATCAGTTCAGGTCAAGGTCCTGCCTTGGGGATGCTGGTTTTAGTTTGCTAATGTTGGAAAGAGGAGCAAGCACCCTGGCAGGACGGGTGGAGGAAGCCGTGTCTTCTGCTTGTAGCTGAGTTTCCAACCAGAGCCGCACCATCCTCACACCCTCCCCCTGCATGCTCGGAACTTCTGCATGCCCCAGATGTGTCCGATGAGGTGAAAGTGACACCTGTTTGGTCCTTTTCATCTCCAGTCCCTCACCCATCCCTTACCCCACATCCGCTTTTGGCCCTTTTTAAAGAAAAAAAAAACAAAAAACTGAGCTACATCTCCAGTGTAGGACCAGAGTTCCTCTAATGAATTTGTTAATCTCCTTTCCTTTTCCAGCTCCCAATAATATGTATTCATTTTAACTCTGAATGCTGTTAAAAGTTTTTTGGTAAGTACCTTCATTACAGCAGGTTATATAATTTCTCTTAAACCTTTTTGTTCTCCACTTCACCATTTCAGCACCCAACTCAATGTTCGGCCACAAGGATGGCCCCAGTGTGCAGAGCTTTAGCAACCCTCACGAACCCTGGAACCGGCTGCACCGAACGCCTCCGTCGTTCCCGACCCCTCCGCCCTGGCTGAAGCCAGGGGAGCTGGAGCGCAGCGCGTCCGCTGCAGCTCATGACAGAGATAGAGATGTAGATAAACGAGACTCATCTGTTAGTAAAGATGACAAAGAAAGGTACGAAAAGAAACCGCTCTCGAGTCCCAATGGGGGAGCCCACTCTGTGCCACGTCCCAATGGAGCCGGCCACCCACCCTCCCCGTCCCAGCCTTGCGCTTCAGCTACCCAGGAGTCCCAGCTCCTCTCAGGCAGCAAGGCCCCCCTCAGCCCCGGAGCCAGCGCCCCAAGGCACGCAGGATGCTGTGAGAGTAGGACTCTAGCACAGTGCAAGATGCCCCTCTCAGAAGCAGCGACACATGCAGAACACCCAAAGTCCCTGAAGTGTTGAGGTGTCCATACAGAAACCTTCCTTGATGAGACAGAATGGGAACATTGGGCCAAACACACACAGCATGACTCAGTGCCATATTTACTTTCGAGTTCGTGTAGTCCATTCAATCATCCATAGGTTTTTCTCTTTCTCGCTTTTTGTTTGCATTTAGAAAGCCATGTTTGCATTGCCTCACCATATTTTTCTCAAGTTTTGTTCAAACTCAAAGCCTGGGACTTACAGAAAAGTAGTAAAATCTTACCTAAGTTTGGAGAAAGGCCAGCAAGGAGTTTGGGTCGGTTTCACCAGTAGATAATTAATTTTAGTAATCATTGCTGTTCTGATACATGGTAACCCCTGCCTAAAAGTAGCCTTAAAGAAAAAATGTCTTGTAGGATTTTTTTTAAAGAATATGTAAGCATTCTTGACCAAGGGTCTCTTTTTTTTCATACACTATATTCCTGAGTGAACTGGTAAGCGAGGGATGCACTACATATGCTTAACAAGAAATACCTAATGACCACGTCCTGCAGCGTCCAGTTTAATCCAAGTCTTCCATTTTTCTTTCTTGCATATACTTCGCATATGTATGTATTTGTGTGTGTCCTGATGATTTCTAAACATACAGCTTTGCAGGCTGTCAGGACAGCAGATCAGTAGCTGCGCCTCACTGGCCATTGTGCTGCACAGATGGATTCTTTCTTTTTCTTTTTTCTTTTCTTTTTTTCTTTTTTTTTTCCGCGGAATCAGGGATTGAACTCAGGCCCTTGCACTTGCCAGGGAAGCGCTTATTCTACTGAGCCATCTCCCCACCCCTGGATTCTTTTCTGACCAAAATAAAAAGATAAATTTCCCATCAAGTCCATATGATGGAAGTCCTCTTAACCAGAGAGACCACTCCAGCCTTCAGCTCTGAGCTGCAACCTGGGAAAGTGAGGCAGCCCAAAGTGGCCGAGGCCCTGCCCCTGTGCTCCAGAGGCTGAGCGGGGCACAGGATGTGGCTGCAGAACCTGTCAGATTTGTCCTGATGGCATCAGGATGGCCTCAGGCACTGAAGTCAGGAAACTTAATGAACTTAATGAAATACACTCTTCTGACCTACGGTCACATTCTCAGCCTACGCCTGTTCCCAGGAAACAAGCTTCATGGGGACCGTTCCTGATGCTCTTCTGTCTGTGGCCATACTTCGCTCACCACCCTGGCCTGCTTCTCTCCTCCCGCCCTCCCTCGTGGCCCTGTCTCGGGGCTCTGATGGGACCTGCTTGATTCTTCATCCTAAATCCCCAAGTCTTCCCTTGTCCTGCATTTTCTTCCCCCGTCCCCGTTCGAAGCAGGTCTCTGGCATTCTTGCGTCCCTGCCTGTAGATGGATGCTCCACTTGTTCTCCATCTCCCACACGAGGTTCTGTTTCTCGCCCCACTTTGCCTGCTGCCGTGCCTCCACCCACTTGCCAGATTTTGGCTTCCATATCCTTCCTCTGCCAGCCGAGAGTCCAGGAAGACGGTTCAGACTTGTGCTCTGCCTAGAGCTTGTTCCATGTCAGCATCTTCCCTCTGAAAAGAGGCCCGTGGTCTGAGGGTCAGCACCTCGAGACCCGCTAACCGTTCAGGTTGCACTCTGCTTCCAAGACTGTGCAGCGCTGGAAGGCAAGTGGCCCGTGCATTTGGGTGCCTATGTGAGGACTTTGAACACAAACCCTTGCCACACACCAACTCTAAGCCACCAGGTCCTAGGCTTGGGCCGGGCCGGGGCCTTTCTGACCCCTGAAAGTTCTCTCTGATTCTGACTGAGGCTCGCAGCTCTTAACACAGACAGCGCACTGCCCCACTAGACGCTCTCACCTGCCTCATCCCCAGTGCTTCACCCCATTAAGCTTCCTCTGAAATCCAGGTGCTAGGATCAGGGGGCTGGCGGGAACCACGCCGGCCCATCCTTTCCACCACCATCTCATTGCACCCCTCGACCCCGAGGCAGAACCCGCTTCATTCATGTCCTGTGTCCCTGTTTTTGCCCAGGGACAGCGTTGAGAAGAGACACTCCAGCCATCCTTCACCAGCACCTATCCTCCCGGTGGGCGCCCTGGGACATAACCGCAGCTCCGCGGAACAGATGAGGGGTCATTTGAACACTGAGGCTCGCGAGAAAGACAAACCCAAAGAGAGGGAGCGAGAGCACTCGGAATCACGCAAGGACCTCGCTGCCGAGGAGCACAAGGCGAAGGAGGGCCACGCGCCCGAGAAGGACGCGCACGGCCATGAGGCACGTGCCGCGGGCGAGGAGGCCAAGCAGGGGCCCCGCGCGCCCTCGCCTTTCCCGCGCGCCCCCGCGGCGGATGGCGCCCGGCCAGGTAGCACCTCGAGCCGTGAGACCGAGCCACGCAAAGGTGAGGCAGCCTATGAGCACCCCAGGAAGAGCTCGGAAGTCAAGGTGAAGGAGGAGCGCAAGGAAGACCACGACCTGGCCCCAGAGGCCGCCGCTGCGGCCGCCTCCGCCGCACAAGCGCACCGGCCCTCAGAGCCGCCACCGCCCAGCTCCTCGGCGGGTGTGCACGCGGGGCCGCTGGCATCCATGCCCATGACGGTGGGGGTGACGGGCATCCACCCCATGAACAGCATCAGCAGCCTGGACAGGACTCGCATGATGACACCCTTCATGGGCCTCAGCCCCATCCCGGGGGGCGAGCGCTTCCCATACCCCTCTTTCCACTGGGACCCCATCCGGGATCCCCTGAGGGACCCCTACCGGGAGCTGGACGTGCACCGACGGGATCCGCTGGGCAGGGACTTTCTGCTGCGCAGCGACCCCCTGCACAGGCTGTCCGCCCCGCGGCTCTACGAGGCCGACCGCTCCTTCCGGGATCGGGAGCCGCACGACTACAGCCACCACCACCACCACCCCCACCCCCCGCTGCCCGTGGACCCAAGGCGTGAGCATGAGCGGGGCGCGCACCTGGACGAGCGCGAGCGCCTGCACCTGCTCCGTGAGGACTACGAGCACCCGCGGCTGCACGCCGTGCACCCTGCCGCCCTCGATGGACATCTGCCACACCCCGGCCTGCTGGCGCCGGGGCTCCCAAGCATGCACTACCCCCGCATCAGCCCCACCGCGGGCCACCAGAATGGGCTGCTGAACAAGACCCCGCCCACAGCGGCTCTGAGCGCGCCCCCACCGCTCATCTCTACACTGGGGGGCCGCCCAGGGTCCCCACGCAGGACTACCCCGCTATCCGCGGAGATCCGGGAGAGGCCCCCGTCGCACACGCTCAAGGACATCGAAGCCCGATGAGGGTACAGGAAGGCCTGGACGACGTGGGGCGGGTGAGGGAGATAGCAGAGCTGCGGAGAGAACCGCCTCCCTCCAGGACTGTGGGTGACAGCAGCACTCCCGCCCCTGTACAGTGTACAGACTCCGCGCAGATTTTGAAATGTTTTTGTATATTATATGTTGAAATTTTTCAGATCAACTCCTATGCCCTCATGTCTCCTCCCTTTTTTTGTTCCTTCTATGACTTTTTGATTTGAACCAAAACAGTGAAGAGGACAACACACACCAGTCGGATGCTAGTGGGGGTGGGGGAGCCCGCACGATCGGCACGCAGAGCTCTTTGAGAGGGGAAGGGAAGGCCGTGTGTACATAGTGTGTAAAAAAGATTGCTTCATGAGCTGATGGTTCATATATGCAAAAGGGTAAGATGAAAGCTTTACTTTGTACAAATGTAAATAGATAAAGATTAAGTAACATAATACGTTAATACTTCTTAAAATGTGCTATTTGCAAACCTGGTATCAGTGAGCACAGTCCGCTAAGGCCGTGTTCCCGTATATTGTTAGAGACAGCTAAACCCTTCAACTATGCAATGAATGTTAGGGCTTTTCACAAAAGCCCGCCTAACTCAAAGGAGCCTTTTCAAATCCATTTACAACATACTTAAGGTCATATTTTCCCTAAACAAGCGCTTACGTGATACGACTCTGTTTTCCTTGCTTGTTTTTTTTCAAATGGCGAAACACCTTATTTCGCACATCGGACCAGGCTGGAACTTAGCCTCCGAAGTTGCTGCTTGTGGGCTGAGGGGGCAGGGGGAGGGCGCACCCCGGTTAGGTAACTGAGGACAGGAGCAACCAGTGCTGGGGAGGCTGGGGTTTGTCAGGTGCCAGCCTCAGGGCGGGTGGAGGTGTCCGTCAGAGGCAGGCTGCCAGCACCTTTGCTCCGTGGGTCCTATGTTTCGCACACACCTCACGTGAGAACCATTCCTTTTCAGTGTCCTATTTCCTCTCCGTGCACACTTCCTCGTTGCGTATCGCAATTAATGACACCCAAACAGATCCTGAAAGAAAGCTTCACGTTTTCTCCGATGATGGATATGTTTTCACTGTAATCGCTAACTGACGAATTGGAGGTGCACGTTTCCCAGTGTGACTCGTGGTCCAGTTAGTCTTATTAAACTGTATTTCTGGGAATAGCTGAAACAGGTCGGCCTAGTGCAGCCTGCGAGAATTACAGAGGGTGAAAGGTGGCAGAGAAAAGTCTTGTATGTGCGTGTGTTTTTGAGTTGGCATCAATCTTATTGTCTCTTCATAATACTTTTATAATACATTAAGCCTCTTGTCTACATATTTGGAGAGAATATGACTTTACTAGCAGAGAAATACAATATATCTTGTCTACTGGACTGTAAAATACATGTATGAAATAAAATTAGTTCCATTTGGTCTTCTAGTATATTAAAGTGCTATCTGACGTTGTTATCCTGTTTTTGCAAAAAAAAAAAAAAAAAGTTAACTACAGACCATTGTTTCTAATAAGCAGAGAGATCTATTTTAGTAGTAAACTGAAGGTTTAGTTGTGAGCTTCAGATTTTGTGAACACCAGATGTTGTGCAGTGTTTTTTTGTTTGTTTTTTTTTTTTTTTTTAAAGACAACTAAAAAAAAAAATCCAAGGAATATGTACACTGGAACTGTAGTGGTAGCTTTCAGTATTGTAAAGAGATTGTTCTATACAGAACTTTTTGCTGTTAATCCTGTATGTAATAAAGTCCTTTCTAGATCCTATGTGAAAAGAAAAGTGAAGCAACTGAATCTTCAGCATGTTCTCATCGGCGGAGCCTCCTTGTGTTATGTAAACTGTACCATGTTATTAAAAAATGTGAACCAAGCTTGCAGCTGCTTGTCTGTGTGAGATGGCCATGATTGCTTGGGGAAGAAGCCCCGCGTGTGCAAGAAACACCTTGAACCCGGCCCGTGTGAGATCTGGAGCCTCCCCGCCGAGCCTGGCCACTCTCCCCAGCTCAGGTAGTCACCCGCCAATTAGGTTCTGTAGACATTTGCACCCCACGCCTGTGGCTTTGGATTCTCTTTCGCGTAATCTGAACAAATACTGTGAAGGTCCCGGGGAGCTGTTGCCGGGTCTGGCAGTAGATGCGCCCACGTGGAGGCCGAGTGGGCAGTGTCTCAAGCCTGCTTCCACGCTCACGGCAGAAGCGCTTGCGGCGTCCATCCGCATGGACGACAGACCCCGTGCAGGTCCCGACAGCCGCGTCGCCTGCTTGGGCCTTCACTTTTCAGTCTGTGGACTCCGTCCGTCCGTCCATCCGTCCGTCCTATGTTCCAGATACTTGGTTTCTGTGTCTCTCGTTGAATGATGGTGGCATACTCTTCATCCGTTTGCAGACTTCTCCCTGTCCTCTAAAATCTGTTTTGTTTTTTAAGATGTAAAAAGAAAAAAAAAAATGTTAAATTTTCTTGTATCAACCTGATGGAATGGCTGTTTGGACTGGTGTTTGTGTCCTGCTGGAAAAAAAGCCGGCAGACGGCAGGGGTAGCAGGATCTGGGAGGCTGCTGAGTGGGCGTGAGGACGCGACAGAAACAGAATTGGGGGCTCTGGGCCTGCGGGGGGCTGCTGCGGACTCCATGGCCAGGCCCAGGTCTGCCGAGCACTGCTGCGGAAACGGGTGGGACCCTCAGGCCTAAATCATGGGCGCCGATAAAGTCCCACTTCACTCAGCACCGTTTATGCGTGAAGGCGTAACTCCCAGACTGGAGAAAATAAGGAAGCAAGGCTAGCGGGTTGGAAAATACGATAAACGCTGTGTTTTTCCAAATCCGGTGCTGCCTGGGACCTTCCAGACAGTGCCAGCGGCGTCTTGATGAGCTATTTATGGCAGACCTCGCTGCCTTCCATTGTACACCTATTTTGATGTCACCATCTGCGGTGTCAGAACGTGGAACAGTCACTCTCAAATCAGTCACGGTATTTAATCCCCAGGGCTTTATTCATCTCAACCTTCGCATATTTTCCCTCTAATTACATTCAACGCCTTGCCTTGATGGGTACCAGCACCAATTTGATTTCCTGCTAACCTATAGATGCTCTAATTATCTCCACAGTCTTTGACTGACAATGATCTTGTTACCTTCTAATGGTACATGACAAGTAAAATAGCGAATATAATGATGCAATAATTACCACTTTGGATGGATATTTGCAACAGCACTTGCTGTTTATCCTTTTTCTGCCTCTGGGCGAGAGGAAGCAAGATGCGATGCCTGATGTTCTATACATACGTGGCATAACAAGAGGGCTAGGATGGGACTGGACCCTACAGTGGAACGCTCACCTGAGCTGGGGTGTGGACTATACCACACAATAAATTCGGCCCGTGTGGCAGTATATCAGTTTAAGGAAAGAGGACAACATACCTAACATGGGCTTTTTCATGTGCTATTTTTTAAAACTACACCAATGTTTGTGTGGTTCTGCCCTTCCAAAAACTGGAAAAGTCCCTGTAGGGTAGACTCTTGATCAGACAAATGTAATGAAGGGCAGTTGCTCCTACCAATGCAAAGCCAAGGGTCTGATGTCTTGGGGCTTCAAGGCCAGAAGCTTCGGGTAAGGAACTCTGGGTGGGAAGGAGCCCTAGACAGCAACCTCCGTCCCAGGGGCTGGATCCACCCCTGCGCCCTCTGACCCCGAGCAAACGCCAAGCTGGAGCTCAGTCTCTTAGGTGTGGAGTGAGATGGTGCCCACAGAACGGGGCTCAGGACAAGGGTTGCAAGCCCCATCCTGATAGCACAGCACACACACCACACGCTGTCCCTAAGCTTTGGAGAACTGTAAGCTGGGTAGAGAATGGCCCACACGGAGGCTGAATGCCTCAAATCAAACACCTGGCAGAGGAGAAGCAGGAACTCAGGCTCCAGGATGAATCTCCTTTTCACCCCAGTTCTCTGTAGCTGTAAAAACCATTACAATCAAAATGTTCAAATGCAGTCACTTCCCGCTTCTGACCCATCCGTGACCGCCCTTGGTTTTACCGTGAATATATATATATATATTTTTAATTATATGGGCCATACGTTACAGTGATAAGCAGCATGTTATAGCTGCACTTTGATTTATTTTTGAGACAGGCTCTCATTATGTAGTTCAGGCTGGCCTTAAATTCACTGTGTAGCCCTGCCTGTCCTTGAACTCCTGACAGTCCTTCTACCTCACCCTCCTAAAGGCTGGGGTTATAGGTGTGAACCACCATACCCTGCTCCATATATAACAATTTCTTTAAAAGAGACTGGCCTACACAAAAGGGAAAATAACATTTAAAAAAAAAATTCAGCCCCAATTACTATGTCGCCTAGATTCTTGCTAAAACCTTGGAAAATGTTGGCAAGACGTAAGGAGTGGGCTGGTGGTTCCAAGGTTTCTGACGCACGTATTCCTCATGCAGTGGGTTAAGGAAGGTGCTGTCACAGTTGGGGTGCCCAGCTGCTGTGCACCCAAGATGTTTGCAGGTTCCCCAGTGCACTGCACACAGGTGCTGAGCCCTCGGGTGGTGTGTGGCAGTCTCGGGGCTCCCTAGGAGAAGCCAGAGCCTTTGAAGCCCCCGTCTGTGTCCTCAGCAGACATGGGCAAGAGGCCTCAGGTCACTGCCACTGGAATTTGTTAGCTGATGATGAAAGGCCTCCTCAAGCTCCGCTTGGGCTGTCTCTGCTGGGCCTCAGGTTACTTTCATGAGCTGAGTTTTTTCTCCCACGCTGCACTCCAGCAAGGCAAGTTGGGCTACCACCCCTGTGCTTTCTAAAGCCCCTGGGTCCAAACCCCAGCCACCCTACAAAGTCCCAGTGCTGTGCATAAAGCCTTCCTCTGGGGGCTCTCCAGGGGCGGCTTGCTCTCCTCCTGCGCCCGCCACTCAACCCTCCCAACCCGGGGTTCACAGGGCTCTGTCTGCAGGGCCAGGGGTCGTGCTCATGCCAGGAGCCTGTGCCGCTGTGCTGCTGCGCTAGACCTCCTTTCTCAGGGGAAACGGCTGCCTAATCCAGTCTAGGGGTGCTAGAGGCTGCCCGGAGCCCACGTTCAGCCCCAGGGCTGTGACCTACATGCAAACCTGAGGTAAATCTGATGAATCAATACCCTCACGTGCAATAAACTAAGACTTTTTAATTCCATTCTTTTTCTCATTCATTTTATAAAAATACTATCTGCAAACCAATACTTCCTCTCATGACCTCAAAGAATAAAGGGTCTCAACCCCTGGTTTGGACCCCATGTCAGAGGAAAATCACCCAGGAGTTTAGGAGGGAATATAGGGGCCAGAAAGATAGCTTAGTAGAATAAGCACCTGCCTGGCAAGTGCAGGGTCCTGAGTTCAATCCCTGGTACTGCCAAAAA